CACACACACACACATAACACATATACCATGCACACATGCTCTCACACACTACACACATACACTCAAACACCCACACAATACACATACATACTCACATACACCCCCTAACATACACATTCACATACATACTCACACACACATACACACACACTCACATACACACTCAGACACCAACACCACAGACACATATACACACACTCACACATATCCCCACACCACACACAGCATCCGGTTCTCTGGAGGTTGGTCAGGAACCGACACGAAAGACTTGTCAAATCACAGCCTACATCTTAGCACATCTAGTTAACATTTGTTACCTGGGCCTGGGGTATAGATAAGTTGGTAGAGTGCTTGCCTAGCATGCACAGGGCCCTGGGTTCGATCCCCGGCACTGCATAAAGCAGGTGTAGTGGTGTGTGCCTGAAACCTTAGCACCCAGGAAATGGAGGCAGGAGGATTAAGAGTTAGTTGAAGGTCATCCTTGGCTACATAAGAAGTCTGAAGTCAGCCTGGCTTACACGAGACTGACTCAGACAGACAGACAGACAGACAAAACAGCAAAATCATACCTGTGAGACTGGGCCTTTTGTCTCTCTGTACCACTCCCTGCTGAGCCACCTCTCCAGCCCCCTGACTGTGAACATATGAAGATAACTGCTCAGTGCTCATTGTAATCTAACCTAAGAACATGCCCAGCCCCCTGAAACGGAAACCCATGGGCCTCAGCAGTCACTGCACCCCAGCGCCAGCTCCTACTCCATCAGCTCCATCACGACCATGGGTGGTCCATTCTGTACATTTCCTATGAATGGAGTTGCCACCTGTGGTCCCCTGTGATGGCTTTTTTGACTCAGCTTTGATGGCCCAGGGTGTCTCTGACACCCAGGCTGTGTGTCCCGTTCGTTCCTTTATGGAAGTATCTCATGCACAGGTGAGCCACACTATCTTCACACATGGGTTCGGATGTTTTCATTGTCCCTGCTCTCTGGGGAACGTTGCTATGAAGACATGCGTGCAGCCTTTGTGTGCGTGAGCATATGTGTGAGCATACTTGTGTATGTGCGGAAGTCAGGAGTCAACGTCAGATGTCCTCTTCGATTGTTTTTCACTAAAAAACATGACACTTTCATCCATGTAAATAACGAACTTTAGTCATTTTCATCCTATTTTTGTCTCTCATGCCCCTCTGCCCGGTTGGAAGTTTCTCCCCAGCTAGTTTTCTTACTTCCATGTTTGTATTTTGTCTCTGCACTGAGTTCAGTTGTGGTAGCTTGCAGCAGCATGGGCAGTTATCAGCAACTACACTGCTGAAGAAAGTGATCCTTGCTCCTCGTTCCCCCTCAGCTGCCACTAAGCGCACAGGGAGCCGGGTGGGGCTCACTAGCTCTCCCGTGACCGGAAGACGTCTCAAAGTGTTGCTGGGCCCTACCTTGTGCAGATGAGCACAGCTGTGCTGTGCAGGCCACACCACATCTGGAAGGTCACGCTTCACAGCGCTACTCCCCATCCTCCAACTTTTACTTTCTTTCTTCTTCCTTTAGGCCGCCTGAGGCCTGGACAGGATGATTTAGGGGTCCACTCAGGGCCTTGTCCCTGGCGTTTTGATCAGTTGCATTTCTCTGTCAACTACTGCCCATTGCAAAAATCCACCTGAGTTTTTTGAAATAGGGTCTCTCAGTCTCTCACTAGCCCTGGAGTTCACCACGGGGTTGGCTAGGGGATCCCCAGTCTACACCTCCCTGCAATTGCAGGCACGTTCTGGCTGCACGTGGCTGTTTACGTGGATACTGGGTACCTGAACTCGGGTCCTCACGCTGCATTCTTTGTGGCCCTTTGTCCTGTCCTTGTCTCCAGGGTGTATACCTCGGAGTGGAATTGCTAGCCTGGTGTAGCTCATCGGTGGGAGTTACACATGTGATGTGTGTGTATGTGGGAAGAGGACACACATGCCACCATGCATGTGTAGCAGTCAGAGGACAACTTGCAGGAGTCTCTTCTCTCCTTCCACCATGTGGGGCCCAGAGATGAAACCTTTACCCACCTTTACCTACTGAGCCCTCTCACTGGCCCCAGATAATGGTAACAAGCCTGCTCCAGCGTGTGAGAGGCACAGTTTGCCTCATCTTCACCCGTCTGTCCCATAATGGTGGTGGTCGTGCTCCCTGGTGTGAAGTGTTTCTTGCTTGGCTTCCAGTGTTTATCAGTGAGGTGCCACAACTCAAGAAGGGGTGAACACCTCAGTGACACAACTGTGTTCACCTCCACCTCATACTGTTTCCCTCCTGACTTGAGCTCACTCACACCAGCTCAGATCCATCTTCACACAGCCTTGCACACATTCACACCTTGGCTTGCTCAACTACTTCTCACATCAAATACCATACTAGCAAGCTATGCATTTGTGTCCACACTCACAAACACTTGCACACTCGAGTGTACCTGCACTCCTGCTGACACCTGTGGACACACCTGCACACTCACACCCCATACCCTCACACCATGAGTCCACACACACATTCATGATCCTGCACACACAGCATGCCCTCCTGCATGAGCACACTTACACAACATACTCACATGCACGCTCATTCACATGCACACACCTATAAGCACACACCTTCACGTCTACCCCACATTTCCTATTCACACTCCTGCTCATGCATGCACTCACAATCACACGAACCCTAGCACTCACTCCACACACACTCACATTACCCATGCTCACACCCACACCTATACTTTTATTCGTGTTCATCTGGATGGATTATATTCACACTCACTCTCACACCCCTGTGTTCATCCTTGCACATATAATCAGCCTCTCATGTTCACACCTGCCCTTACCCTCACACACACACTTCATGTTCACACATAGTCGTGTGCCTGCACACAGTAACCATTCCTACATGTACACATCACACACTCTTGTCCTCTCTCACGCTCAGGTCCACACTTCTGTATATATGAGCATACTTTTCATTCCTGCCCACACTTCATATGTGCATTTATTTTCACACCACCCAGTTCACTTTTGTACATATGCACACTCATGTTCACACTCACCTTTACACACAATCACACTGATGATCATATCAGCCCTCGCCATCACCTCCACACCCATATGCACACCCATGACCATGCACTCCCACTCACTCCTACTCCTGCACTGGTGTACACTCAAATTCACACCTACCCACATGTTTGTGCTCACACTCACTTCCGTACGCTCGTGTTCACTTTCACACACACAAACACTATCATATTCTCATGTGCATTCTTACACCCCACACTTCGGACTCAGTCACCCATGTGCCCATTCACTTCACACTGCACTTACAGCACCCTTGCATGCTCACATAACCACATTTGTGAGCATACTAGCTCCAGAACCTCTGTGCTCACTCATGTCCACTCAGGTCCATGTGTTCATGTTCACATCCACTCACATCCACACTTGTTCACCCCTCATGCCTGCATTTCATATCAACCCAACCACTTGCATAATGCTGACTCTTGCACACACAAGCCCAGTCTCACAGCCACATCCATATTCACATCCCACACTTAACATTCACACTCTCACACATTAACTTGTGCATACATGCACACTCCCATGTTTACTCCTACCTCACACACTCATGCATCCATGCTCCTGCGATCACACTTGCTCTTGCACTCACTGTGCCACACCTCTCACACACAACAATCTCGTGTGCACACTCATATGCACATGCATTCTCACTTTCATCCACACTCTTGTGACTGTGGCTG